TTTTGTAATAAGTTGCGAATTTTTTGTATTAAGTTGTTTAATTTTGTGTTTTAATTTATGGATTGATTGCAATGAGCTATGAATCTCCTATATTCAGTTGTTATTTTTATGTTTTATAATATGAATTAACTACATTAAGATGTGGATTTTCTATTTAAACCGTAAATTGATTATATTAAGATGTGAACTTTTTATATTAAAGTGCGGACTCACTGTATTAGTATGTAAATTAACTAGTATTAAGTTGTGATTTTTTTATAAAATCTTGTTTACTTCTGAAATATAAGATTGTATAAACAGTATCGACACATATGATTTTATCTAATTTTGAATAAAGTATGTAAAACTTAAATTTTGAATAGTTGTGTAAATAAACTTTAAAAGAAGCATTAACATATAAATCTAAAGGTATATATGTAAGTTTAAAGATGATAATATAGTTATGAATGTATACTTTTTATGCATTAAACTATGAAGTTATATATTAAGTTGTGAATTTTGTGTGCTGAATTGTTATTAAGATGTGAAATTTTAACGAATTTTATGTTAAAATATGAATGATTTATGTATGAACGTTTGTAATTTCATGTGAATATATTTAATTTTGTATTGTATAAATATGTAAGAATGTATTAATTGTTGTAATTATTTTGTATTAAACTTTGAATAAGTAATTTAATTGGTTTATTAAATTGTAAATATAGTATTTAAGTTATCAATCAACGATTTTATATAAACATCTAATTTGGAAGGAAGAACGATAACGACGGTAAAGTGGTGGGTGGTGGGTGCGGTGGTTGGTGATCTTGGTGGTGGTGATAGAGTTTAGGTTTAACTTTTTTTAAATATGTGAATTAGTGTATAATGAATTGTATTATGTTATTTTATGAATTTTATATATTAAACTAAAAGTAAATTATATTAAGTTGTATATTTTATATAAATTTTGTGTTAGGATACCAATAAATGCATGCATGAAAATATTAAATTATGTATTAATGAATTAATATGTTTATTAAACTGTGAATATATCTTATACATGATATATTTCTTTTTAAATAAATATACAATTTAGAAAAAAATAGAAAATTGAATTTATAAAGTCATAAACCTATTTTTTATTAAAATGTTGTATATTTGGTTGCAAAAATAAAATGGTATGTATTAAAAAGTATTATCAAAGAAATCAGAACTATAATATTTATTCTATTAAACTATGAATCCGGCCAGAAAATGTCAATGAATTTAGTATTGGTCTAGTGGTGGTGTGATGGTGGTCTGATGACTGTCTAACAACAAGTGGTAACTAGCTCTAAACTAGAGAATAAAAAAGTTTGGTTAATATAATATTAATGTTTGATTTGTCCAAAATAACCTTAATAAAAACATTTAAAAATTAGTTTTTTAAGGTTTTTAACCTTTTTGGATTTTTATTTGAACCAAGATATATATATATATATATATATATATATATATATATATATATATATATATATATATATATATATATATATAACCTTTTTTACATTTTTGCGCTTATGCATGTTTTTAGCATTAAGTGTAAAATACATTTAATAACTTGTAACAATATTTTCTTATTTTTATAATTAATTCAAGTTGCTTAATTTTATTTTACATCTTGACATATATTTTGATAACATATTTAGCATTTTTTATAGTATTAACATACATTTATAGATGTTTTGATAACAATTTTAAACGAAATGAGATGAGATAACAAGATAGTTTTTTGATTATCATTTTACTTTTATACATATATAAAATTTCATTGAAACGAATGAAACATAATTAACTTCTATTCTAATAAATGAAAATCTTTTTGCCATATATTATATTTTTATTGATTTGATCACGTGTTATTTTGTGGTTATTTTCAATTAAATTTTCTATATGATATTTTGCGGTTTTTTCTATTTTATTAAATTTCATATAATATTTAAATATAGTAATTATGTAAAAATAAATGAATATCAATTTCAGTAATTGACGTTGCTTCTAATTTTAACATTTTTAAATTAAAACTTTATCAGTTACTTTGTTTATTTATCTAAATTATTTGTTTAACTTTAAAAGAATAAAACTCATTAATTTTAATAATTCAATATTTTTCTAATTTTTCTTATAAATTCAAAAAATTTCAAATGTTTAGAATTTTCATATATATATGAACGCATGTAATACATTTGTGTTATACCTAGTCATTTTATAAATTTTTTTATTTTATTAAATTATATATAGTATTTTAATGTAATAATTGCAAGAAATACAGTAATAATTGGATATCACTTTTATTAATAAACTTAAATTTTGGTTTTAAAATTCCTAAAATTAAAACTTATTAGTTTCTTTTATTTATTAAAGTTTTTGTTTAAATTTAAAAGATAAAAAACATTTTCATTATAATAATTTAATATTTTTCTTATTTCGTTATAAATTCAAAGTTTTTAAATATTTTAAAATTTATATTTAATTTTTTAAAAATTAATTCATGTAATAAATAAGAAACAGGTAAATTGAATTTGAATCATCAAAAAAAAGATTGTATTTCTTAGACGACCCAAAACAAGATATATTGTAATGTTTTGTACAAAAATATATAAATAAATAATTAAATAACTAACTGCTTAACAAATTTCCAACTTTTAAGTCATCAAGGAAACTCTATTATAAACCAATTTATAACGAATCTTTAGAAAATCAATTGTTTGTATCTCGAGTTGGGTCGGGTTCGTAAACATTTTGTTTTTTATGTAGTAATTTTTTTTAATCTTCTATGCAAAAAGGTACTGAAAAAGAAAAAAAGCAAAAAAAAAAGGAAAAGAAAAAGGAGGAGAGGAATATTTATGGTTAGAAGAACATACTCACATAGAAATAGAATGAGAGGCATTTTTATAATCATTTGGACTTCACGGATACTTATGTGTTTCTCAGCCTACAGTAACATGCATACAACCCCGTTTCACTCACCGTTCGATCATTTTAGAAAATCGTAAACTACGAAACATTCGCCCTCAAGAATTCCAGTATGCAAGTGTAGTCCTTAAATTTCAATTATCTAATTTTAATTATAAATTAAAATTCTTCTAACAAAATAGTCTTTTTTGAGGTCAATATTGATCAATAATTAGTCAAAAATTCATAAATATGAACCCTTTCTTTTGCAACATTGCATTCCCTTCATAACTTCCACCCAATCTATATTTGATCCAAAATTTATATGTCTAATTGTCTTTTTATAGTTAGGTGTTGATGAATAGCCTAATTATAGCTAACCAATGATGAGTATACTTATATGCAAATAAGGTTAGCAAATATGTGAAATGAAAGAATAATTTTCTTACTTGTGAGTAATTGTTAGTATTCCGTTGGTACTAAATTATATGGAAAACTTTAATATTGGTATGATAAAAAACGAGATTTTAAACTGTTAGGAATTTGACAATTGTTTACACTTTATGCTAGTAACAATAAAATTTAAAAAAACGTAGTTTATATGATTATTGAAACTATATAGACATGTTACCTTGTTTTAGACAATCTTCACTGGCCATTTAAGTAATCCAAAATATTAGGAGTTGTATGAAATCTCTCAATAATGTAGGGTTTTAAAAACAATTTACAACTCAATAAAAGTCAAAAAAAAAAAACAAAAGCAAAAAAACGACATAGAAAGCCGAAAGACGCGGATATATATAAAGATCAAATCACATTCAACCCCTGCTAATTAGCAAAACTTCATATAAGACCCAAACTTACGGGATAATCACAATTAACCCCTACATTTCCAAGATGAGGCAATTTCTAGATAAACAATGTCCTCACATACACGTCAAATGTTTAAATTGTTCCTACCGTAACTGGTAATGTACATATAGATGCCGTATACATTAAGAATCCACTTAAATATGTAGGCCATATAAGCGTTTAATGCAAAATTATGTATATTGATCCTATGTCACAATCATTGTACTCTAAATTTGATATTGAAAAGTCATTGAGTTATTATTTCTAATCGATAAAAACACAAAAATAAACAAAATAACTAAATTGTTACAAACAACTTCTATATAAACTTTTAAATTGTATATTTACGAATGTTATTGTTGTTGACCAAAATGTAAATAACACAACATTGGCTATTAACATTTCATTTGAAGAACGGTATGAGATGTTTAAATTGTTCCCACATTAATTAATTATATGCATATATATATATATATATATATATATATATATATATATATATATATATATATATATATATATATATATTGTAGATATTAGAAGAATCCACTATATGGAGGCCATGGGGGAGTTTAATGCAACATGATGTATTTTGATCTTACATCATAATCATTGTATTCTAGATTTGATGCTGAAAATACGCTTAGTTCATTATTTCTTATCGACATAAACACAAAACTAAACAAAATGACTAAATTGTTAGAAACAATTTCAATATGAAATTTTAAACTATATGTATAACATATGCTATCATATTGACCTATAGATAAGAAAAACAGAACATTTGATATTATCCTTTTATTTGAAGAAAATGATGGGCATGTTGAATATTCACTGGTCGCTATACAAGTAGATGGAGACAAAAATGATTTTAGAACCCAATCAATTTTATAACCTAATTTTTGTTAGTTAATCCATTATACATCATTTCAAGAACTAACAAAAGAAGAATGCCCAATTTAAAAACTTTTTGTTTTTATATTTCGAGTACTCTTTATCATACAAAATTCATCTACCTAGAACATCAAGTTGAAATAGGGTTAGATGATTCTATTGTGGATGTTATCAAAAGGGTATTCGTTTGATTGATCATTAATGTGGGAGGGATGTTTATGAAATTAGGTAAGATGTAGGGGTCCGAATACGATACACACCACCTATATGTATAATACACCTTTCAATCTCCCTCATCTCTCTCTCTCTCTCTCTCTCTCTCTCTTAAACAATTGGACACAAAGTTCAGAGCAATGGCAGCACCAACAGTGTCGTTTGTCTCGTGTTCTTGTTAATCGATTATATACCAAAAACCCCTTTACTGTTATTATTATTATAATCAATCATCTCTGTTTTGCTTTCTCTCTGTGTTGTAATTCTTAAAGCAATCAACATGTTTTGCTTCTCTTAAACGTCATACTCCTCTCTTTCTCTCTCTTTTTAGTGCTTTTTTTCAGTGAGCACTAACTGATTTGAGCTTAAATCTCATCTGGGTTCATCTTAATTATGGAGAAAAAACAAGGGTTTTTTTCTACATTGAAGGAGGAAGTAGTCAGAGGCTTGTCTCCGGGAAGGTCGAGGAATAGAACACCGAAACCTGGCCGGAGCCGGAGCGGGTCTCCGAATTCGGGTCTACTCAGGCGGAGGAAAGGTCACCATGTGGCTCAAACCGAACCGATTATGTCAAGATCCGGGAGCTTGAGACCATTGGAAGCTCTGTCACCGCTCCGAGAAGGTCCGGATCCGAATGAGACGACGGTCGACGCCGCCGGAGATTCCTCGAAAGTAGAGAGATGGGGACACTGGATGAAGGGCCAGTTATGCCGTGCTCCGTCCGCTGCTACCAGTTCCGGTTCGGGTTCTGCATCCTATCAACGTTCGGATCTGAGATTGCTTCTTGGTGTCTTGGGTGCGCCGCTTGCACCAGTGCACGTTAGCAACGCCGAGCCCTTTCCTCACCTCAGCATCAAAGACACCCCCATTGTTAGTTTCCATCTCTCTTTTCCTACTCACTTCGATTTTCTTGATAAATGCTTCTGAAATACTACATGGGTACTGATTTTCTTGCTACAATTTATTACATCGATTTAACTTGGATATTAGATTGTTTGACATTTAAAGTCAAATATTTCTCCCTCTCTCTCTCTCTCTCTCTCTCTCTCTCTCTCTCTCATTTGGTATCAAGGATATGTGATTAACATAACTTGTGCATTTTAGGCTAATCAACATTCATTAATTGCTTTGGTGTTTATATATAGCATGCTAAGGTAGGGTCTTCAAGTAAATTAGTATCCTATCCCCATAAACATGGAACTAGATTATGTGGATGTGATGGTTTGATTTTTTTGTTTTTTTGTTTTTTTTCCTATTTTGTTTACTTATTTTAAGTGAAATTCCAACTAGTAATTCTGTTTTCTCTTTCCCATTCTTTCAAAACACAATGATTCAAAAAGTTTTACTCTCGTTTGATCTACATGTTTGTGCGATTTCAAAATAGAAATATTTAATTCAAGATTTTTTTATTCTGGTTGGTTTTTGAGTAAATGCAAAGCAAATAGAAGTTAAGCAATAAAGATTTTTCTGGTGGAAGTTGTTGTGTTGTCGTCGTCATAATCAACATCATCATCTATTTGGTGGCGGTGGTTGCAGGAAACGTCTTCAGCACAATACATACTGCAACAGTACATGGCGGCGTCCGGCGGCCAAAAGCTGCAGAACTCCATTCACAACGCGTATGCAATGGGGAAAGTGAAGATGTTGGCATTTGATATAGAAACTGCAACAAAAGTGATAAAAAACAGAAACTCATCAAAAACAGCAGAATCTGGAGGTTTTGTGTTATGGCAGATGAACCCTGATATGTGGTATGTGGAACTCGCACTCGGTGCAAGTAAGGTTCACGCCGGTTGTAATGGGCGGCTCGTCTGGCGGCACACACCGTGGCTCGGTGCTCACGCCGCCAAAGGACCGGTCAGACCCTTGCGTCGCGCTCTTCAGGTAAATCACTCAATTAATTTTGAAAATCTTTATTTTTATCCCTCAATTTATTTTTTTACAAAAAATTAAATTAAAATGTTTTATTAGGGTTTGGATCCACGAACAACTGCAAGCATGTTCACACACGCAAGATGCACGGGAGAGAAAAAAATCAACGATGAAGATTGCTTCATCTTAAAGCTCTGTGCGGATCCACACACGCTAAAAGCTCGAAGCGAGGGGCCTGCTGAAATCATCCGACACGTGTTATTCGGGTATTTCAGCCAAAAAACGGGGCTCCTGATCCACCTTGAAGACTCTCATCTAACCCGGATCCAAACGAATGGCGGAGATGCTGTTTATTGGGAAACCACAATCAATTCGTTTTTGGATGATTATAGACCTGTTGAAGGAATCATGATTGCACATTCAGGAAGATCGGTTGTGACTCTTTTTAGATTTGGTGAAACAGCTATGAGTCATACAAAGACGAGAATGGAAGAAGCTTGGAGTATTGAAGAAGTTGCTTTTAATGTTCCTGGGTTGTCGATGGATTGTTTTATTCCTCCTGCTGAGTTGAGATTTGGGAATGTGAGTGAAGCGAGTGAGTTTGGACAGGAAGATCGAGTCAAGACTGCTGCCATGGCTGCTGCTGCTTACAGGGCGAAAGTTGTGGCATTGGAGAGATCAAGGAGAGAGATTTGATTTGATGGGATATTTGGTAGAGGAAGAGGGGTAGAATGGGGATTTCGTTTTTACTTTTGGAAAGGAATAGGAACTTGACTGATCATGAGCAAGTGTTAATATTTCTGGGGATTATTGTTATGTTTTGAGCTTTTTTCTGTCAGTCAAGAGTTCAAAGGTCTCTCTTTCGCTTACTCTCTTTGTGTAAAATCTTGTTTGAAAGATTGACATTTGATATCATCTTTGTACAATACTTATGCAAAGCATAGTTATTTTCAAGTTTTTTGATCTTGTCAGTGTCTTTTTGTGGTAAATAATGCATATGGTATGAATAGTTGAATGATAAATGATATGATGGGAAAGGTGAACACAAGCATGATGATATTGTTACTGCATATGTATATGTATGTTCATGAATATGGTTTAGTTCATAGTCCTTTTTACTTGCTTAAAATAAGCTCATTGTACGAGAGTGACCTCACATGCCTTTTTATTGTTTTGTTTGGTCCTACTTAGAGGTGTGAGTCATATAAAGGATTGTTTTGAAGCTTTTCTTAGACAAGATATACCGATAAGGAATCGTAAAGGTGAGGGATTTGGTGCGATGTGAAAGCAGATGATGCAAGTGAAAAATTTGGTAGATGGTGGATGATAGATGCTATAACATATTTGGAGAGGTGATTTTTATATTTTTGTGTTGAATACAAAAATGACAAATCAAGTATTTATATAAAAGTAACTAAGTTGGTTGGGGAAGATAAGTGATCTTGATTGCTTTATTTCTAACCAACTTTCCCTCGAATTAAATGCTAGTGGCTAACATGAAACTTGGATCATAGGTATTGCAAAACGAGTAGTTGAAACTTGAAGGACCGTTGGTCAAAATATCAAGAACCTATCCTATGGAAGGAACATATTGAAGTACTAGAGATCCAAATACATGTATCAATATCAATATGTTTGGTCTGCTGATGAAACACATGATAGACAATCTGATACGTTGCATCAATATTCTCTCACCATAGAGCCGTTGGACTAGAAAAAGAGAAATAGGTAGCCGAATGTTACCCCTCAAAGTTTGTGGACTAAATCAAGGTGGCAATGTTCCTCCAACACATGTCCTTTATTACTTTAGTTTCTTTGTAATTTGTAGAAGGTGTCCAATTATTTTATGTCTATTGCTAGCATGTAAGGCCATCTATAAATATACCATATCTATTTCATTTTTCCTCTTTTCATTTTAGAGGCCAATATTAAATATAAAACATTCTTCAATTGTTTGAAGTTCCTTCTTAGCACTCTTAGTTATGATTTAATCTACAAGTGCTTCAAACCTCTTTCAAGTCTCATTTTACGACATACTTGTAACACCCTGGTATTCAGGTACTTTTAAATTTATCCTTATGGCTTTAATTTATATCATTTTGGCCCCTGTAATAGAAGGAAGTAGCCATGAGAAGCCCTAATGGAAAAATCGTAATTTGGAAGGAATGGGAGTACGCCATGCGTATGTGTGTACGCTTAGTGTACTTGGGTGCGCCCTAGTACGTGGGGTGTACGTCAACATATGCATGGTGTACTCATTAGGTATTGAAAACCCTAATTTTTTGGGTTGACCCCTATGTAATCCCCCTTATAACCTCATTTCCCTCACCCTTTCAGTCTCCACCCTCCTTGAGTCGATTTTGCAAGCCCTAGCCCTAATATGTGTTAAGCTTGAGTGTGTGTGTGTGTTCTTGGTGTTGAAGAAAGAAGAAAAGATTCTTTGAGAAGCTTTGGTGTAGGATTCAAGCTTGTAGATCTGAGATCTTCATCTCTTTGGGAAGCTTAAGAAGGTATAAAGCCTTGAACTTTACTTGTATTTCTTAGAGATCTAGCCATATGGAGTTTTATGAGTTTTGTCCATTTTCTTTGACTTAATGAGTAAATGTTACTCTAAGACTGAAGGAGCTACCTTTTCAGAAGATTTAAGTTGTGTTAAGTCATAAAAATGCTTTCTTGACTTACTTAGTGCTTGTATGCAAAGTGTAGAGGTCTTTAGTGGTTAAGACCAACTAAGAAGTTGGATTTAGGTCTTAATGATGCATGCATAACCATAAAGTTGGAAACTTTATGGTTAAGAGCACCTTCTTGGACTTGGATTTGGTTATTGGAAGTTTGGACTGCATGGATTAAGCCCTTATTCGAAGATTTTCATGGCCACCACGTACGCTGGGCGTACCAGGGCGTACACTGGGCATAGGCAGTCAACAATGTGTTTCTTGGTCAAGGTGGAGTACGCTGAGCGTACAGCTGGGTACACCCCGTGTACTTAGTCTCTTGGGTTTAGCAAGTTTGGGCTTCAAGTTAGGCCACCTTTTGGGCTTAGATGCTTGGGCCCTTATTGGACCATTCGATTATTAGTGTATTGGGCTAAGTGAAGGGATATATTTTAGGGTGAGGCCTACGTAGGAGTTTGGGCCCAATTTGGAAAATTGGGCCAATTATGGGCCTTGAGTGATTACTTAGTTTTGGTCATTTGGATCAAGATTTGGGCTTGGGTCTTAGCCCAACTAAGGAAAGGGTAAAGTGGACTTTTACCTTAATAACGGACTATTAGATTAGGTTGTAATCCAATTATTAATTGGATGATTATTTTGCTGTGATAGCACGGGGATTTTAGTGAGCTAGCAGCTAGAGACTTTCAGTGTGATTCAAGAATGTGAGGTGAGTTCTCTTCGCTATCTTACGGGTCGAGGGAACCAAGGTTGACCCATTGGTTTGATAACTTGATATTCGTTGATATGTAGAGTATGGAATAGATATGTATGATAGTTTCGTTATACTAGTATGGTAGATCTGTAGGACTACCTATGATACTGTATGTTTATCTGTGTATAATATTATATGTTATATATCGACAAAATGTATGGGTTGGGTTGAGGTTGTACTGCTCCGTGTGGTTGCCAACAAACCCTAGAGAAAGCCATATATGAGCTGAGGGTCAGGGAGGGCATGCCAGACTTATACCGAAGGTCATGAGCATTCCAGATACGAGCTGAGGGTCGGGAAAGGCATGCCAGACTCATACTGAGGGCTTAGCGGTATTTATTATGAGGAATGATCTGGTCAGGGAGCAAGCCACACGTAAGTTGTGGGTCGAAGGCAAGCCAGACTTATGTTGTGGGCTTAGGGGTAATACAGTCTGTTAGCTATGGACCCATTGTATGCTGTTATTGTATATATGCTGTTGTTTGTGTATTGGTATTTTGAGGGAACTCACTAAGCTTTGACTTTCAGTTTTGGATTACGTTTCAGGTACCTTAGATGATCGCAGGAAGGTGAAGGCGTGATTGTGCACCTCATTGTGTTCGGTTTTGTGATTTTGGGCAAACTCTGATAATAGACATGTTTTGAAAATTATTTTGTAAACAATGATGATTTTTGGGTTGTTTAAAAAGTTTGGATACACATGAATTCACATGATTTTTGTGTATTGGTATTTTGGGGGAACTAACTAAGCTTTGGGCCTACTGTTTTGGATTATGTTTCAGGTACCTTAGAGGATCGCGGGAAGGCGAAGGCGTGATTGTGCACCTCCTCGTGTTTGGTTTTGTGATTTTGGGCAAGCTCTGATAATAGACATGTCTTGAAAACTATTTTGTAAACAATGATGATTTTTGGGTTGTTCAAAAAGTTTTGAAAACAATTTTGGATTATGTTTTAGGTACCTAGACTGGATTCACATGAGTGTTCCTCCAATTCAGAAGACCAGATTCACATGAGCTGCCTTTTCATAAGATTTGAGTATGAAATAGATATGCATGCTAGTTTCGTTATACTAGTTTGGTAGATCTGTAGGACTACATGTGATACTATCTGTGTATATGTGTATGATATTATCTGTTATATGTCAACATATTAGGTTGTATTGCTTCGTGCGGTAGCCAACAAACCCTCGAGCAAGACATATATGAGCTGAGGGCTGGGAGGGCATGTCAGACTCATACTAAGGGATCATGAGCATTCCAGATACGAGCTGAGAGAGGAGAAAGGCATGTTAGACTTGTACTAAGGGCTTAGCGGTATTTAGTCTGAGGGCTGATCTGTCCAGGGAGTAAGCCAGGCATAACTTTTAGGCCGAGGGCAAGCTAGATTTATGATGTGGGCTCAGGGATAATCTGGTATGTTAGCTTTGGATCCATTGCATGCTGTTATTGTATATGTACTATTGTTTGTGTATTGGTATTTTCGGGGAACTCACTAAACTTTGGGCTTACAGTTTTGGATTATGTTTCAGGTACATCAGAGAATCGCGGGAATGCGAATGCATGATTGTGCACCTCCTCGTGTTTGGTTTTGCGATTATGGGCAAACTCTGATAATAGACATGCTTTGAAAACTATTTTGTAAACAATGATGATTTCTGGGTTGTTTAAAAAGGTTATTTTTTCATGAATTTTATGGATGTTACAATACTCAACCCTTTGCAAGTAGGATTATAGAGTACACGAGTGAGAAAAATACCCACAAAAATGACACTCTAAATGATCCAACTCAAAGATCAAGTAATGACCTCATATTAGTACTTCTGATAAAGTAATTAAATCTTGTATTTACCAACTCCAGTTCTTAGTTTAATAACTAATGGAAATCATGGGGACATGGAAGAAACAATCAAGGCGTTCACCCAAGAAAATGTTGATATATATATATATATATATATATATATATATATATATATATATATATATATATATATATACACTCCAAGTCCATTGAGCAATCTTGGAGCTGAGTTAAAGGAAGAAATAAGGAACATCAATCAAGATCTTAAAAGAGTTTGCAAAAAATTCTAAAAAAATTATAAAAATAAAAATTTATAAATTAAACTAAATTTGGGACGAATTCTAATAAAATTTAATGTTTGGACTAAAATTTACTATTAATTAAATTTAAAATATGGGCCAAAAGTATAAAAATGAAAAGAGGAAGTTACCATCCAACCGGAGATAAATGGAAAATATATAGAAAATATGACT